CCAAAAATAAATAAACGTTGAAAAAAAAATTTTTAAAAAGAAAGTGTATATGTAGCTAAAGCAATCACTTAAGTCAATGGAAAAACAACACCAGCTAAAATGACATGAAATAAATGAAGCAACTTGTGGATTTACTAAAACATCACTCTTTGTTCAATTGTTCTGACATATATCTTCAATGACAGAAGCTTACTATGTTCAGATACTACCATCTCCGTATAATACAAACAAGAGCTTAAAGGGTGATGGGAAGACTGTATTAGATAAAAGGATTTTATGAAGACAATCGTTACTGGAAATTTGGAAGAGAGATAAGTCAAATTTTGGAATGCATGTTTCCAGAAGTGTGAAAGAAAGAAAGAAAGAAAGAAAGAAAGAAAGAAAGAAAGAAAGAAAACGAACAAGAAAGAAAGAAAGGAACTGAGAGAGGGAGGGAGGGAGGAAGGAAGGAAAAGACAGAGCCTTGTCAGTTTTGTGAGATTTCAGTAGGGAGTGAAACAGATGACCCATTGAAATCTATTTTGGCTGTAGGATTTTCTTATTTAGACACAGAATCAAATCTCTCCATACTGTATTGTTGTATTAGTGCTGCATATAATTGGGTAATTCTTCATACCCAAAAAGCAGAATGTCAAAATACAGAAAGAAAGTGAGGGAGTCAGTGGAATCTAAGCCTAAATTGTGGTTCAGCCACTAATAAGCTGCACAATCTTGAGAAAGTCAGTTTCCTTATATATTTAGTGGGAATATCACCTGGTTTCTTGCAGGATTGTTCTAAGAATTAGATAAGGTTATGTCTATAGAGAACCTAGCACAGTGCCAGGCACAATTATTTGCTACATAAGATACGTTAGCTCCATTCCCAGTTTCACATCCCATGTAGACCTTTCCTTCTGCTTGAATTTCATCCTTGTAAACATGTGCCAAAATGTCATTTCATCCCACCTTTACTTGCGATATTATCACATTATTAGAAACAATACCATCTGAAGTTTTAGGTTTGAGTAACAACTAAAGAAAGTTTGACTGTGTAAGTCATTAAAATTTGTTCCTGATGGTAGGCGGGAAAAGACACATAAAAAGATGAAAATTACTCACTGACTTAGGGCTGGAGGACAGCAACAGAGAAGTGCACCTCATTCATAACAGAAGCATTTTGCAGTTGGCAACACCCCCACAAATGACTAATCTCCAAGAAGAAATTTGATTCCTTCAACTGCGAGGAAAAGAAGTTTAATACAAGCAGCTGTGGTAATAAATCTTCCTATCAGTTGTGGTTATAAGGCTGGAAAATCTTGAGTTAACTGTGCTGGTGAATCATGCACATTTATTTCTACTTGTTAAATGTATTTTTCTTTTATTTACACAGAGAAGTCTTGTAATGAGGCTACCATGAAAGGTTGGTGTCCAAAAAACAATAAAGAAATTCATTGTCTAGCATACATAATAATAATATAGTTCATGCCAGTTCATGACATGCAATTTTTCTTTGCCTGCACAAATATGAAAATGAAATTTCTTCTTAAAGTGTCCAAAATTCTGTTACTTTGTTCCAAGCCACAGAAAAATAAATTGAGGAGATGTCCTTTCTGAATACATCTAGATATTTTTTTAAAATATTGGTGTTTGCCAAAAATGTATAGTGTACTTACCGACCAAAAATATTTAAGTAGCGTTAAAAGAAGGCACAATTCAAATGCAAGAAGGAACCTTGGAAATTTGGATAATCTTGTGGTGGTTTTAAATTCATGACCTCAGTCTTGAAGAATAGTTTCCACTTTTGGGATTTAGGAGGTATCCTTGTCTAATACAAATAGAGAGAGAAGACAAAGGAGGAAGAAGTTTCTGCTATATTTAGCTCATTAAAATAATGGTCACTTTCCTCCTAATCTGGTTTATGAGAATTTCAGTGACCATTCCATATAGCAGTGATTTTGGTCACTGAATATAGTGGTGTTGGGGAACCACAGCCAGTCTTCCTCAAAGAGAAACTTCATTCTCTCTGAGCAGTTCATCATTAATTTATTTTCTTTTCTGCTAGCAAGTTAAATGTTCAGGTAGTGCTATGAAGAATTTATATTGAGGAATTTTGGAGAACAAGATGTACAACGTAGGATGATTGCATAACTTTTGCGTTTGCCGGGTTCTGCAAATGATAACGCTATGTTGGTCAATCCAGTTCTCTTTCAAGTATGATTGTGGGATAACAGAGGTTAGGTAAAGTTTTATTTTTATTT